TTCCATGCAAGGCAAAGTGTGTTCAAAAAAATGTTGAGGTCAAAAAGAGAGGGACATAAAAAAAAAGGTTTCTAAAGATTGGACATTTTATTACATCAGATGCTTACTTACATACTTCTTGACTTTTTAGGTCTACATCAGATATTCTGATTACAAAAAAAACACACGTTGTGATTTAATTGTTATGAGTCTGTTTCCCGTAATGTAAACTTTCCATATGCTTAGTTTATATTCTATTTAACATTGGAAACATCTGTTCACACACACTGGTTTTTGAGTACTCTGACACTGTCCATTCGACTGATTCGAGTTGTTGTAATTACCAATTCTGACTTAAGCTGGTGATTCACCGATTCACCATGGTTGAGTTCCAGCCAATCAAAATGATCCCACAGTTCAGTTGAAAGCGTCGGGCACTCATTTCAGACTTGTATGTTGCCTGCTGTTGTTCGTGTAAAGGCTATTCGATGTCACGTGTAATATACCTGAGTCCTGCAAACGTCTAGGCTCGTCAATAATAGGCAAGCGTTGCGTAGGCTCGTTTATCAGTAGACTTTAAAGGGATTTTGGAAAATCTAGCGGGGGGACTATATATTAATGTGTTTGAAAGACTGTAATACTCATTCGTATAATTTCTCTTCTAGAATAAGTCAACACGTTAAATGAACTTTGAAAGGACAAAGGCTTTTATCTTAATTGGTATAAACAATTTTGTCAAACTGTTTTTTTAATATAAAAAGTGAAGATTCTCCCCTGTTTTAATGTGATTTGGTCTGATTATATGACATATTCTTTCATAATTAAATAATCTAATGACTGTTGAAAAAAAAAGTCACATTATCTCTGTGAAATAGTTTTGTAAGATAATGAGGCCTGAAGTTGCTAGGAGTTAAAGTCCTTGTATAAAATGTATCCAATGTGAAATAATGTTTCACAGCTTCCAAACCCTTAAAACTGTACCATTTTAGGAATACTTTTAAAAACTTGGCTAAAATAACCAGACCATTTTACAGGCATACTGCGTTTTAGGAACTCAGCCACTAAATAACATCTTTTCTCCCCAGAAAATAAATAAAACAAAAACCTGTAGAAGGAAAATAAACTTTAGCACTATTTGTATTTTTGTTAATTTTGAGAATTGAAAACGTGAAATAAATTGATAGTTACGTTTCATTTATTTTAATTAATAAAAATGTATTACACACACACAAAGAAGAAATTAATATCTGAAATTAAAGCAAAAAGAAATGTTTCATTAAACACAATTATTATTTTCATCTACAACCACAACCGACAAGCGATAGCCAGGTTGGGTCCCTTGGGCAAAACTTGCAATAAATCCCCATTTGTCTATTCTTCTCGTTTC